AGGTGTGCCTGCTGTGTGGGCTGAGTATACCCCTCCTTTTGTAGTTGAGACTTGGCTGCTGTTGGCATGTCAGTGGGAGGGATTTGCCTACACTGAGCAGCTGCAGGTACTGGCTGTGACCACGGACCACCGTGGAGGATCAGCTCTGCAGAGGTCCACCTGACAGAGCCAGACTTGCTTGAGCAGGGCTGTGGTGCCTGCTGAGTCCACCCCTTGAGTGTGTTGCTTGTGGAGGTGGTTGGATGGCGGTGCTTCAATGTATCTGAAGCTTTCCACTGAGTGTACTGGCTCTGGGGCCTCCGGGACGTGCAGGCCAAGGTCTGCCTTCACCTGTGTTCTTCCCAGGGCCGCCCAGCATAAGCTGCAAAGTGATCTGCACATGGCTGCTACTTATGTTGGACTTGGAGGTGCCCAGGAGAGGCCAGGCTGTAAACCAAGGCCGGCTGCTATTAGTGCCTGCCTGCAGGCATGTCATGAGAGGCACTGGGCACGGTGAGGCCAAATGCTGCTTGTTTGAGAGAATTTAGGAAAACCTGAAGCACGAGCCAAGACCAGCCATTTGTATGGAAAAGCCATTGAAAAAAGCCTGAAGGTTGATTGGGTTGGGCCTCAGGTAATCACCGGGGTGGTGCAGACAGTATGAGCCAGGTTGATGGAGTCTCAGATATGGTGCCCACCTGCTGGCTCTGTGGGCAGAGGGCTCATCAAAGGAACAGTGGTTACTGCCAGCACTTCTCTCTGGGAACAAGTTGCCCCCCTAGCTCTCACCCTGATGCCAGACAGTTCACTTTCCCCCATATCTCTGGTGCCTTTCAAGCTGCTGCCCCAGCACTGGAGTCAGAGGGAGCAAGTCTGAGTAAGTCAAGAGCGGGCCCCTTAAGAGGAACTGCCTGGGGCTTCAGAAGCCTTCGTCTTCCTCAGCCTCAATCCCCACTGGTTCTTACAGCCAGAAGTTATGGGGTGCTTCTCTTTCTGGTACTGGAACCCTGGGTTGGGGGTCCTGGTGTGGGGCTGGGACCCCTCACTCCTCAAGGTGGACCCCGCAGCTGAGATGGCCCTCCCAACTTTTATCCACCACTCATGGGTGTGGGACCAGACTGTACTGTGTCTCTGCCCCTCTTACCAGTCTCGATGTGGTGTCTTTAATTCCATAGTTGTAGGACCTTCATTCAGCTGGATTTCAGGCAGTTCTGAATGATGGTTGTCTGGTAGTTTAGTTGTAATTTTGATGTGGTTGTGAGAGGAGGCTAGCTGTGTTTACCTACACTGTTGTGTTGACGGGAAGACCCTGTTGTATGTTTTTAAATGCTTTTTTCTGCATCAATTGGTTTTTCTTCATTCGGCTGCTGATATGAGATTATATTGGCTGATTTTCTAATACTGAACCAATCTTACATTCCCAGGACAAAGCCCACTTGTTTGTGGTGCATCATTTAATTTACATAGTGCTGGATTTGATTAGCTGACATTTCATTAAGGATTTTTGCATCTGTGTTCATGAGGGATTCTGGCCTATAGTTTCCTTGCACTTTTTCCTCTGAGTTGGGTATCTGTAATGCTCGCATCACAAAATGAGTCGGGAAGAGTGTTACCCCTTCTTCTGTTTTTAGAAGACTTTGCATATAATTGGAGTTATGTATTTTTAAATGTTTGATAGAATTTACCAGTGAAACCATTTGGGTCTAGAGGGCAGTCTTTTTTGGAAGATTTTAACTGAATTCAACTTTTTTAATAGTTATAGGACTATTCAAGTCATGTACTATATTTCAGGTAAGTTTTGGTAGATTGTGATTTTTTTAAGGAATTGGCCCATTTAAGTTGCTGAATTTATGTGCATACCTTTCCATAGAATCCCCTTATTAACCTCTTAACGTATGCAGAATCTGAAGTGATACCCTTCCCATTGATCGTAGTGGCCTTTGTGCCTTGTTTCTTTTTTCTTTGTTATTCTTGCTAGAAGTTTGCCCATTTTTTTTTCTTTCTTCAAAGAACTAGCTTTTGGAATTATTAAATTTCCTTTGTTGCTTTTCTCTTTGCAGAGAATCTTAGTTTCAATCTTTGTGGGGGGTTTTTTCTGTTTTGCATTTTAATTTTTTTTCTCTTTTTCTAGGCTTTTTTTATTACACGAAGACAAATATTTAAAACCTTTATTAATGGGTGCTTGGAGTTTGTTGACATTTTTGAAAAAATCAAGTTGTAAACTCTTACTACAAATTAAAAGTGTGGTTTTTAAAAACCTCCACTTGACTAGACATGAAGCAATTTAAAAACCTTTAAAGGTGTATTGAGAAAAACCAGGCTTTTACAAAAATGTGTCATTACCAAAAAGAGACGTCTTTAGATAAAAGTAATAAAAACCCCATGCTGCGGAGGTAATTCAGATGGCTCTAATGGTCCATCCACGGGCAGAAAGCAGGCATTGAAGGTCTTCAGCTCCAATCCTTTGTTCGCTTCTCATTGCTGCAGTTTGGTACTCATTTCTTCTCGTTGATGGGAGAGATGGTAAGCCTGCATTTGCTCAGCCTCAGGAGCAGACAGATTCTCAGCTAGTGGGTCAGCTGCTTTTGTCTCTTTGCCATCTTGTGGTTTAGGATTTTTGGGGGGGGATCTGCATCAGTAACTGAAGTTGCGGGGCTGCAGACATTGAGGTGGTGGTTGACCTTAGGTCTCATCTCCTTGATTCTCCTACTTTGCCGTTTTCCCTAGGCTGTCTTTCAGGAGGAGGACCCCTACAGAATCGTGGTCTGTAGCCTCATGCATGATCTGTCTCACTGGTCTACCTCGTTCTCCTGCACCTGGCTGTCAGCACCCTCCCTCCCTTCTCCCCACACAGGAGGGGTGGAACGCTGTGGTCGATGCTCACAGGGTTTCCACTTAGAGTAAGGGGGAGCCGTCTCCTGCAGTAGGGGTCAGTGCTATTGGGCCCAGCCTTCAGGAGCACACTTCGATTCCTCATCCTTTTCCCCACTCTCACTGTTCTGGTAATTCTGCTGCTAATTGCATGGAGGACCCCTGCGACGTGGATAGCATCCATAATGGTTACAGTCTGCTGTCACCGGGCCTGTAACATTTGCTGCCTCTGCACCCTTTTCTCCTGCAACAACATCACACTCCATGGGCTCTCCACCCCCTGCACTGCGAAGGTACTTCCTGGGGTTGTTCTTTACCTTTGTAAAAGATAAACAAATACATCTTCCTCAGCATCATTCCTGTTGATAAAATCATACCTGTTTCTTACATTGAACCATTTCACTGTTTCCAAAACCTTCGTCGTTTTGATCTTTTTGTCCCCGCTGGCAGGTGCTGCCCATGTGAGGCCTCCAGGGCCACTACTCCCTGCACGGGGGCCTCTGTGCTTGGAGTCAGCAGCGCTGGGAGTGGGGGCAGCAGGCAGTGCTGGGTCTCCGCCTTGCTGCTCGTGGGTGTGGCGATGGTGCCTGGGACTGTCCTGCCACTGCTCAGGAGTCTTCTCTCTGGGGTCTACTCGCTGCTCCCACTGCCGATCGAACTTCTAGTTTCTTTAATTTTCTTTTAATATTTTACTTATTTTTAGAGAGAAGGGAGGGAGAAAGAGAGGGAGAAATACATCAATGTATGAGAAATGTGCGAGAGATACATCGATCTGTTGCCTCCCACACATCCCCAATGCCTGGCCCGCAACCCAGGCATGCCCTAATTGGGAACTACCGGTGACCATTTGGTTCTCGGGTGGGTACTCAATCCACTGAGCCGCACCAGCTGGGGCCTAACTTCTAGTTTCTTAAGGTGAAACTTTTAAGTCATTGATTTGAGACCTTTTCTCTTTTCTAGTGTGCGCACTTTATAATATAAATTTCCCTCTAAACATTGCTTTAGCTGTACCCCCACCAATGTTGATATGTTGTATTTTCATTTTCATTCAGTTCAAAACATTTTCTAATTTTCCTTAAGACTTCCTCTTTGACTCATGGATTATTTATAAGTGTAGTATTTATTTTCTGAGTATTTAGTGATTTTCCTATTATTGATTTTTACCTTATAGTCAGAAAACATACTTGATATGATTTCAGTTTGTTAAAAAAATTGTTGAGGTATGTTTTATAGCTCAGAATATGTGCTCCTGCTTGGTGAGTGCTCTACTGGTGTGGGTGGGAGTGTAAATGTCACTTAGACGCAGATGGTTAGTGGTGGTGCTGAGGTCTTCCACGGCCTCGCTGGTTTTCTGACTGCTCGTTCCTTCACCGAGTGAGGAGTGCTGCGTTCTCCGACTCGGCCTGCAGGGACCCCCCAGGGAAATGCACACGGAGCCTCCTCTGCACGTGCTCTTCCTGGCCCCATGGAGGCCCTGCTCGGTTTCTTATAAAACCCACCTCCCTGCTGCCCTTCACTGTGGTCACACTGGAGAGACACTGAGAGTCCCTGACTTCCACAACCACGTAAATGCCAGTGCCACTCTCTCCTGGCACCTGAGTCTTCCTCCTGGAGCTACCCTGTCTCAGTTGACTACTCTGTCAGCTTCGTTTTCAACAAGCAAAGTAACCCTACTCTCCATCCCTCCCAGGGTTGCTACCATCCCAGAGCTCCTCCAGTAGCCACAGGCGGGGTGCGGGCAGCTGCTTGCTCCTCCTGTCCGTGGTTTGTCCAAGAAATGTCCTGGACGCAAGGTTTCACCAGGAGCCAGAGCATGGCTTTTTAGAAGTGGACAGACAGCTCATTCAGCCAGGCCCAAGCTCTGAGACCTGGCCACTGACTCACATCTTCTAATCTATAGCGTGGAGCTGTTTTAGGATGAAGAGATGACCCATAGCCCTGCCCAGGGCAAGGCGGGCTCAGGGCACGGCTCAACACCATCGTGACTGGGTGTCTGTGTTGAAAGCTGTGTATCTCAGTCATTTCTAGCAGAGTGTTCAATTTCAGAGAAGCACGTGGCCCTCAGGTTGGGCAGGGCACAGGGAAGGCAGGCGGAGGCCCCGTCCTGGGAGGTGTTGCTCTGATGTGTCTGTTTCTCCCCCACACCACAGGTGACCCCAGGGCTGAAGGAGAAGGAAGGGGAGCTCTTGGTCAGGGGACCCTCCGTTTTCCGGGAATACTGGGACAAACCAGAAGAAACGAAGAAAGCATTCACCTCGGATGGCTGGTTTAAGACAGGTAGGGGCACAGAGCGGGAGGGGCACTGGAGCAGGGGCCTGAGGGGAAGGGAAAGGATCATGACTTGGCTACCCCATGTTGTCACCACACCTGGATACCCCAGAATCTTCTGTCAAGGACAGAGACAGGGCCTGGGAGAGGGGTACACTTTGTGTCTCCTATCTTCCTGGCTGTGCCCCCAACCCAGCACCTCTGCACCCTGCCAGCCTCCAAAAGGAAGCTCCTGAGGCCACAACCCTCAGGAGGGCCAGCAGCCCCTGCCTGGGGGTCCTATTGCCCCTCTCGGGTCAAGATGCCCGCCCCTCCTAGCCACCACTACACTCTTAAGTCAGAGAGCCCCCTCACCCCCTCCCTCGCACCCTCCCTTTTAGCCCATCATGCTTTGTAAATCTCCCCCTCCCCCACTCAGGATCAAGGTTGTTCTGACAGAATGTGGTTTATTTTTGGTGCGGGTCATTCATTTCCCGGTTCCCTACCAAAGTCTGCACTCTGTGTCACCCACCCAAGCCAGCAAGTATAAACCCATTGCCAGAGCCTGGGGCCCCGCGCCCAGTGGGAGGAGGCAGCACTGCTGGAAAGCACTGGTGGGGCCCCCACGCCAGCATCCACCCACCTGGGGCACGCACCCCGAGCTTGTGCTGAGGAGCCTCCCGCCCTCTGTCCCCCATCCCACATCCCCTCCCCCATTCTGTTCCCTACCCTGGCCTCTTCTGTCCCCCACTCCCACCCTCCTGGGGCCTAAGAGTTGACGCTGCAGATACTGGGAGTGTGTGGGTTTGCAGCTGCATCGACTCACTGGTGTGTGTGCTCATCCAGAACACGCACCAGAACATCAGCCCCCTACATCTAGATGGGGGGGTTCTGGGTGGTTTCTCCTTTTCTTTTTGACTCTCTGTAGTTCTAAAACTTCCATGCTGCACACGCATTAGTTCATAATCATCTCAAGGCAACATTTTCTAAAAAGAAAGGCCTGTTTTCATATGTCATCATGCATGGCCCTGTAGTCAGAAATGTGCCTTAATGCGTGCTCTTCTGTGGGGAAGAAGAGCGCAGGAGGAAGGAGGCCACCTGCTGACGGGATGGCATACCTTCCAGGGTCGCTGTGCTGCTCGGACCGAGAGAGAGGGTGTGGAGGAGACAGCTGTGGCCCTCAGCCTGCTCACCTCATGGCATGTGCTGCTTGGGGCTGCCTCCCACACATGTGTCATCTCACCGGGCTCAGGTCAGCGTGGGTTTGTAGGGGATGGATCCTGTGTCCACTCTCCAGTCTGCCACTGTCATGAACCTGAGCTCACCAAGTGACAGGGCAGGGGGCTATGCGGGTCCACTGAGTGGGGGCTTGAGGGTGGAGGGGCAGGTACAGATTCTTCTGGGAGGTATCAAGCAGCCCCCCTTTCATCCCCATGCAGGTGGCACTTTGGGCTGGACCTGCTGATCCCACCTGGCCCCATGTCCACCCTGTGGTCCCACAGCCATCCACGGCTTTCTCTCTCATGCATCCTTAGAAGTGTATTTCCTCATGGCTGTGGTTGGTAGTATCCCACCCCCACCCCCAGTCCCCCCACGCTGGGTTCCGAAGGGTTTGCAGACCGTGTGTCCGTTGGCCCCCAGAACAGGAGCCGTGCCCCGGGAGTGCTAGCAGGAGAACCTGGGCACCGGTCAGCAGAGGCCCTGGCTGGGGGCCCAGGAGCCAGGTTGCCTGTTTTGGGCCCCCTGATCTCTGCCTGTGACAGGATGTGGTCAGTACGTTAACACACGCCCATCTGGTTTAGCCTCTGTAAACATCTGCAGTACTACACGTCAGTCTGGTGGAAACAAACCTCTCTCCGTTGTTGTCTTTCAAATGCAGAATTTAGGAAATACTACTTTTGAACTAATTGTGCTTTTTACACATCCCTATGAGTGCTTCCAACTTGGAAACCTGGCTGACTTTGTATCCACCTTCTTTCATTTTAAAATTCCAATAAGAAGCTGCAGATTTTTTTCTTTAGAAGCACAGGAACCAGACCCCCACGGACTCTGCCGGCGGCAGGGCTGACCGAGCACGAGGGTGGTGGCAGCGCAGAGTGCAGGGCAGTCCGAGGCCCGGCGTGTGAGCCCCGCTCTCGATGAGAGTTTCAGCTGAAAAGGAGTAGTATGCATTAATTATTGTAAAGAGATGTCTTTAGGAGAAAATGATTTTGAAATTCAGTTTAATTTCATTGTAATGCACTGCAAACAGGAAGGGAGTATGTGTGTTTAATTGGCTCTCGGGGGTAAGGCCTGGAAGCCGCATGCCTTTGTCACAGGCCATTAGCGATACAGACTGCATAATGAGAGCGCGCAATCAGCTCACAGCTGCCGGCTCCTGCGGGGAGAGCATGATATTAAATAGAAATCAGGATAAATTAAACTTAACCCTTTCCCTGGCCAGGCCCTCCTGCCGTGTGAGTTCTGGCCAGAGCGGGAGAAGAGCCGAGTGGGCCAGCTCCTCCTCACTGGCCTCCCCGTGGCTAGGTGACAGGAGACAGGCCGGCCACTTCACTGCCAGCCCCCTGGCCCCCCTGCCCCCTGTGTGCCTGCCCTCCTCCCCACGGCCTGGTTCTGCCCGGGAGAGCGTGTGGGCGGCTCCGTACAAGCCCCCTGGGGCTCCTGGCTGCCTCTCAGGGAGGAAATGAAAGGCCTCCCCCCAGACACCTCCCTGACAGCCACAGTGACTCCTCACTCTCGGAGGTCCACCCGAGCCCTGCCGTACCCCCAGAGAAGCAGGCCGGCACACACGGGCGCTGGTGCTGGCCCGGGGCAAAGGGACAGGTGGTTCTGGGACCCAGGCTCCCGCAGGGTCCCACACTGACCTTGCTGTCGGAGCCGAGGACATGGGGATAAGGACACCGACCTGAGGACATGGGTGGAGATGAGAACACAGGGTGCACGTGAGAATACAGGGATGAGGACACAGGACACCACTAAGCACATGGAGAGGAGGATGTGGGATGGAGCCGAGGACACGGAGATGAGAAGGCAGGACAGACATGGGGACACCAGATGGTGACGGGGACCTGGGGCAGAGCTGAGCAAGCACTGTAGCTCCCACTGTGCTCTCGACGCTTTTACCCTGCGAAGTTTGATCGTTTTAAAGAGACTGATAGCCGAGTATGAGGAAACAAGAATGGCATCTCTGATTTATTTCAAAGGATATGCATCATACACTGTTGAATGTTTACATAGTAAACGGTAAACTGTATTTCCCCAATTTTAGATAGATAACATGTGTAGAAGGTGTGTAGGTAACTGGGAGAAAGAACGTTACCAGGGTGTCTGGTGGTGTCTCTTCCCTTTTAATTCCCAGTGAGCATGTGATAGGATTTTCAGAGGCAAACATTAAAAGCTATTTAAGAAAACAACTCACCGATAGAACAGCAGAGGGGAGCCCCCGATGTGGACTGGCTGGGCTGCCGGAGGTTTGCGGCCTCTGTGGAGCGTGGAGACGCTCTGAGGGGTCGCCAGCGGTGCATGAGGGCTGGCCACGCCGCCCAGCGGTCGCCCACAGAGCCCAGACAGCCTCCAGCAAGGATGCCGGGAAGAAGTGCAAGGATGCCCAGAAAAGAAGTGCAACCAGCGAAAAATGTGGGACGCATTTCACTTCCTGGCGATGAGAGAAAGAAACATGAAAACAAAGATCGAATCCTTTCAACCAAATTGGCAAAGAGCCTTAAACAGCTGACACTGACGCTGTAAGGCCAGGGCTTCCCACACACAGGTGGGCCTGGTGTTGAGAGTGTTCCCCGGGAGTCTAGGTAAAATAATCAGAGGTGGTCAGAAGTGGGTGCGTCGAGTCGTCTGTTGCAGAATTATTTATAATGTGAGACGGTGGAGCCCTTTATCGGTGTTGGGGAGTGGCACATACATTATGATCCATCCAAACAGCAGAGTGACGTGAGACCTTAGCCGCCGTGTTCTGAAGAACAGCAGCATGAGGGAACCCTGTTGGTGTGGGTCGTGCACATGTGTGTGGGGGGGGTGCCGTGTGGGGGTGCTGTGTGGGGGTGGGCATGACTGGGCCTGTATGTGCTGAGCACAGACTCTTATTCCCTCTGAATGACGTTCACGTCCTTCTTTGTTTTCTCTCTGAGTATTTCTTCAGTGAGTTTTACACTCTTACAAACACAGATAAGCACAAAGTGCTCTTAGATTTTATACTGAAGTGTAAACCCTCTCACTTAAGTCGGCCTCAGAACAGCGCTCCGGAGTGATGTTGCTCCGCGTACACCTTGCCAAGGCAGCTCACTCACGGCTGCCTGAGCGCTGACGTGTTTCTTCAGGAAGGAGACTTTTGCTTTGACCAGTAGGTCATGGCGAGGAATTCGGCAGCGTGCCGAGGACAAGGGCCCCGTGCCTCACATCAGGGAGTGCCGTAGCGCAGGGAACTGCAGGTGGCATGACCACTCGTACACAGGCCTTGCCCCTCCCCGGGGGACAGGGTCGCTGGTCCGAAGACACTCCGTGTCACGGCTGTGCGGTCTGCAGCTGCCCTGGGCTCTCCCCAACTGCATGAGGCTGAGCCCGCGTGGCCTGCGCGGCCCCCTTTGTCGGTGGCACCTTTCGTGTGCAGACGCTGTTGTGGGGGCACCGTCCCGTCCGGCAGGTGGCTCCTTTGTGCGAGCTCCACTTTTTCATGCTGCTTAAAAACCCTCTGTCCCCCATGGTCGTAATTACCTTCTCCTGTATTTTCGTCTGAAACTCATCCGGCTTTGCTTCCCTGAAGTCCAGCCTTTGGTCCACCTGGATCTGAGTTTCACGTAGGAGGACGCATGCAGCAGCGTCGGGTGTGCGTGGCCCTGCACTAACCGCCCTACGCCCTGCCGTGTTCTCGGCCGCACGCACCCGCCCCTGGGCCTCTGTGCTGTTCCTTTGGCCCCTGTTTTTCCTTTCTGTACCGGTCAGTCCCAGGGCTCGGGACAGAGGGTGAATGTTCTTGTTTTTGTTTTTCATAAAAGCTGAGCGTCACAGCTGGAAGACGC